CCCCCCCCCCCTCCTTCTGCATGTGTATGCTATTTTATTTGTTTCAGTTTCATTATTATAAGGGTTTTGAAAAATTCGAAGCCGAAAGGTTTGAGACTTTCCTCTTGACAAATGGCTTTTTAGCGAGTGTTGTTCGCTACTTCATCGGCCCTGGACGTTTAGAAGGGCAATTGTTGCCCATTTTTGTGAGATGATGCGACATCGAAAGATGAAGCATTGTTGTGTGTGCGGGGCACTTATGACTGGCTCTAAATGCGTGCTCTAAGCACATTTACATTTAAAAAACAGCAAATCATAAGTTTACATAGTTCATGATTTACTACCTCCCCTTCCCCCTGCCCTCTCCATTTCCATAAGTAATGTGTTGGAGACGATAATTATGTCTGGATATACAAGGATCGTTACATTGTTATGTGAACATCGTAGCAGTCGTTCTCGTAAACAATTCATTCATAATTGTCCAGCGTAATATTTTATTTATGCTGTTTCAGATTCAGTTTCCCTCATTAGCCTTGCGTATTCCAACCTACGCGTTCTCTTTTTTCAAATTATGAAAACCCCGAAGTTTTATTGATCTAATTTAAAATACATCGTTTAATGCTCTAAAACTAAAGCAAAGATAATTTTTTTCGAAAATGGTTATAAAAACAAATAACAATACCCTCTCATAATTTGACGATTCTATTTAGGGCGTTCGTGATTCTAATCTAACAATAGCGTATTTAATGCCTGGCTACCGGCCAATGTTTCGTTCCCGTGACAACAAATTTTCATGTTTAGGAGCTTGTAAAATGCATTGTATTTAGCCCCACTCACTGCTCGAAAACAGCGTAAATTATTATGGTCCCTGACGCAGTTTGCATGTTAGCAAGACGAGCAACAATGAATGAGCTTTCGACTCTCGCGTGGAGTTAGAAGAGAGATTTTTCAAATTTTCTCCCGTCGCTCCCCATCTCTAAAGCCTGTCTCCCGTACTCGTTCAAGGGCCTTGTAAAGTGAAAAGATTTCATACAAAAAGTATGTTATTCAGAGCTTATTTCTCTGTGAATACTAAGTCGCGCCGAGTCGGAAGTTTCATAACAAAGGGGGAGGGGATGGATTACGAGGAAGGGGAGAGAAGTCGAAGAGAAAACGGGGCTGCAGCCTTTGAAAGGGGGCATAATCTTTCATTCTTTGACGTCTCCGATTCTCTGTAAGCCGCAGATCCCCTCCTCTCTCTCTCTCTCTCTCTCTC